CATTGTAAAATGCTCCAAACTTCAGAACACCTGTGACTTAACCTGAATCCTCATTTTTTCTTTCTTTTTCTTCTTCCTCTTCCCCTTTCCTCTTTCCTTTTCTCCTTTGGGTTGTCTTTCTCTCTCCTGTCTCGTGTTTCTGTTCCTTCTTCATTTATTTTATTTCACCACTTCCCCTTTCATGCACCTCTGTGTGCTTGCTCTCCCTCTGTGGGCATCTAGCTCTCTTGCAGTGCTCCCCTTCCTTTGTTTTCATTTTTGACTGGCTCGTCATCCTTATTTCCCACTTCTACCACTACCACTACTACTACCTCTTCTTCTTCTACTACTACTACTACTACTGATGAAATTAAGACACATGTGTGGCATCTGGTTGTCTTTGTTGTGGATGTTTCGCCATCCAGTGGCTGGCTGGATGGCGAAACGTCTACGATGGGGATGCCCGGGTGTTGTGCATGTGTCTTAATTTCATCTTGTCGGTATTATATACAATTCTTGTACTACTACTACTACCACCTCCACCTCTTCCTGCCTATATATAGCCGTCCTGCTCCACCTCTGTTAGTGTGACTTTGTCAATGGTCCAAGTCGGACCGAAACGTCGTCGTAAGCTTCTCTCTTTTATGTGCGGGTTATTTGTGTATCGTTCCAGTCACGGTATTGTGCCTTTTTGTTATTTATGAATGATAATTCTATGTAACTGTATTTGTTTATACCTGAATAAACTTACTTACTGATGTCAGCTAGGCCTGTATACCTTGTACATGTACGTGTAGTAAATAAAGATATTATTATTACGTATTATTATTAATATTATTATTATTATTATTATTTTCTCAGTTGTTTGTTGGGTTATCTTATTCAAACTTGGGCAATGTATGATGGAAAGATACTTCTTCACGTACACCAAAAATGAAAGAAATCAGACCATAAATAGCGGAGTTCACTTCTCAGCTATTAGCGGCCGCTTAGCGGTATATTTTTGTATGGTTGTTATGGTTATATTCTCATTTTTTTCGGTCTCATTTGATAGAATGAAAGATATATTACGCAAATAGATATGATTTTGATTGCTTTCATGACAAAAAGTACCTTGAAATTGTGCTCACAGTAGCGAAAATGTTCTATTCTTTAGCGAAGCTCCAAATTCCAGTATGGAGTCAAGAATGGATTGACATTATTTATACAATGATTACAATAATGCAGTAGTCTGCATAACAGTAAATCTTTTATTTTTGTTTTTTAAATAAAAATCCAAATGGTAAGCAAGAGTAATATAAGAGGGGCCTGTAGCTGTGACTAATGAACAAAGAAAATATTATTTTAGTGCCAGGAATGTCTACATTGTTTATTCTGGATCCTATTTTGAAATTGGCATCTGTTGAAATTTGTGTGAAATCGGCAAAACTGCCAACTTCTGACCACTTCATTGGGTAGTTCAAATAAGTGAATGGGCAGTTTCTTGTACTCAGTTGACAGACTAGAAGTAAATAAGTTTATTCAGGTATATACAAATACAGTTACATAGATTATCATACATAACAGTGTATGTATAGAGAACCTAGGATAACCCAGAAAAGTCAGACAAAGTGACTTATTTCCAGTACCTGGCTTGGGCTTGCCATATATGATTTTTGGTAAATATTTTTTTTTTCTCGGTTGTTTGTTGGGTTATCTCATTGAAACTTGGGCAATGTATGATGGAAAGATGCTTCTTAACATACAACAAAAATAAAAATAACGGACGATATATAAGGAAGTTCATTTCTCAGCCATTAGCCGCCTCTTTGCAGTATATTTTTGTATGGTTTTTATGGTTGTATTCTCATTTTTTTGACTCATTTGATATAATGGAAGATATATTACAGAAATAGATATGATTTTGATTGCTTTCATGACGAAAAGTACCTTGAAATCGAGCTCAAAGTAGCGGAAATGTTCGATTTTTGCCGATGTTCAATGAACTGTTTAAGTCAAGTTGGTTAATTTTATTAAGTGTATTCTAACTTAACCACTCTGTAATTCAGCAAACTCAGTAATCCAGCACACTACAGGTCCCAATGATGCCGGATTTGTGATGGAGGACCTGTACCTTCCATTCTACCAAAAGGAACCAAGAAACTGTGAATACAGCTGTAAAAAAAATTTTAAATTTGCTGTTTTAATCCAAAAATATGGTAGCAGTTTTTCTTTCTCATTATGCACTGCGTGCTGCAGGATTTGTTTCATATGGTGTACACTTACCACATAGATATATACTCTCATATCTAGGTCCAAATTTACTGCTCACAGCTAGTGAGCAGAGCTCATGGCGTAGAACTACGGCTTGGACCCTGGTTTTAAAGCCATAGAACTATGGGACGGACTCTCAAAAGGTTAAATGCTAGCAAGAAAGCAGTCTGTTCCCCAAATTAAACAGTGAGCATGGGGATATCACAGTCTAAGAAAATATGAAATAAAATGAACTACCAGATGTAAGCCATGTGTTATTTTATTACTGGTAGATAAATAAAGGTAAATACAGTGGTACCTTGACTTACGAGTTTAATTTGTTCCGTGATCAAGCTCGTAACTCAATTTGCTCGTATATCAAATAAATTTTCCTCATTGAAATTAACTGAAATGTCATTAATCTGTTCCAGCTTCAAAAAACCCACCCCAATTTTTGTTACAGGTTTTTAAATAAGAAAAATGTATTTATAAATAAGAAATATTGTATAAAAGCATAAAACATAAGAGAGAATGTAAAGAAATAAACTGGTTTATAAAGTGTATTTACCTTGGAGATTAGATTTTTGTTTATGCTGGTGGAACTCCCGAGTCTAGAGGGACAGTAGAAAATACTTCAATATAATGCTAATATCAACTCTATGGCTTATTTATCTATCAAAACTGATCTAATATGACATAATAAACACTATAAGTAACACAGAAACATGGTATACTCTAGAATGAATAAAATAGGCCATAATATGGCATGTGTCCAGGACCAGTCCGAGCATATAAAATCATTACTGCTCCTTCTTATAATGTGTTCTTTGGTGCTGGGTAAGAGAAAACAGAGCTTTTGAGAGGCTAAGTACACTAGCATGGGAGGCCGGCCCACGTTCCCAGTAAATATCTCAGAAGTAAGTTAGTCGATTATTGTGATTTATTTGAACCCACCCAATTTATTATTGAAGTAAATAATAATATTACAGGAATCATAAAAAAAAAAAAAATGATTGTTCTACAATTGGCTTGTGGAATTTACCTGGAACTTGAAATTGAGATTTCGGGGGTAAAGCCCCCGCGGTCCGAACTGAACCAGCCTTTTGTATCAAAGCTGAATACACAGTGTGCCTCCAGTAATTGTGCTAGATTTGTGTTGGAGTAAAGGCAATATTTAAAATGTTAAAAACTTAGCAACTTATTTTGTAGAATTAACAGTAAAACATTTACCTTCCAGTTAGAACATTCACAATACATTGTTTATAGTACCAAAGTCTCAAAATCACCCTCGTTCCATAAAATTGGCACGAGTTCTGCATGTATTTATAAACTTAATTGTATTTCATTGTTTATTTGGCAAAGCAACTGCTGCTCATAATTGGATTTTGGCATCACAACTCAAACAAAAAATTGATCGAGATGTTCTTAATGCTAAATGTATTGGCGTAGCTAACTAAGTCAATGCACCACTGTATAGGTAATTTAGAAACCAACCCTAACTTAACTTACTACACATTAAATTTTTGTAGATATTTATAATGGGCAAAAAATGATGAATTGCAATGTATGCTAAACTACAAGTCCAACTGCACTGGGTAGAGGCAGAAGCCAGAGGCAGTAAAGAATCTGTTACTGACATCAGTGTGAATATTATGTGAAGAATACTGTGTGTGATGGTATAAAAGGTTTAATTCAGGAAACAGACCAGAGTGTGTACAAATCTGGGGAAGATGGGAAGTGTAGTGAATGTTCTAGCAAGGACTGATAAGAGGATATGACAGAGGTTTTGTGGGACAGTGGCTTGAGCATCCAGCAGGTATATGTCAGCAGGTTAAATTAAGGCAAGTGGAGACAAGTGTTTTTTTGGGGGCTTCACGTTTATTTGAATGTGAAAAAAATAACATTAATGAAGGGAATTAGAAAAACCAGTTAAGACAGACTTGAGGTTTGGTGTCCCTGCATTAGACGAGTGTGTGAGAATCTGGTATGACCAAAACTTAATAATGAGTGAGCAGTTTCCCACAACATGCATAAGGGGAGGACTGCCAAAGACAGCTAGAAAAAAATTAAGGAACTGCTCGCTTAACATGAGGATCTGTTGACAGGTGAGACAACTTAAAAGATGCTGTTCAGTTGAGGATCAAGACAGTAAAAACAGCCTTCATGACCCAGAGAAGATAAACTGAATTTGAACTTTCTATTGGTTATAAGAGGTTGAAAATAAGTGTTATGCAATGAATCCTGTGATGGAAAGAAGTATCAGATTCAAAGAGATCACCACCAGCACCATCACACAATTGCAATCACCACTGACCACTTGTGACACCATCACCTGTGATGCCACCAACACTGCAGTCACTGCCTGTGATACCACCACAACTGTGGTCACCACCACATCAACTGTAATCACCACCTACACCACTACCTGACACTTCTGACATCACCACAGCAAGAACTGCAGGTCATTGCACTGAGGACTTAAACTGATCATATACCTACCACTGAGCTTCACATGGTACCCAGAATGTCTTCACAGTTGAGATCCCATTTTGCAATTCCTTATTTTTCTTGTCAAATTCTTTTCTTTTCCAGGTGTTGTTAAACAGTTAACTGTATGCATATACAATTTTAGTTTTGCATTTTCCTTCTGGATTTACACTAATGCTAGAGTGGAATTACAAATATACAATTTTTACAATGCATCTGAATTATTTGCCATGTATAACTGCATCAATCTGAACATGGTTAATAAATATTCCCTCTTGCTACACTGAGAAAACCCAGCTTACCTCTGGGTATGATTCATGAACTGGCTGAGATGGGTTCAGTGAAGGTGCAGGTACTGTTGCTGCTACTGCTGCTGTTGCTGCTGCTGTTGTTGTTGCTGCTGCTGCTGCTGCTGCTGTTGTTGCTGCTGCTGTTGCACCTCCTCCTCCTCCTCCAATGGCTCCTTCATCCTGGTGATTGTCCCCTCCACCCACTGCACCCTCCAGGGGCAACACTGGCTCAGCCGGAGCCTCATGACCCAAGGCCACAGGTGGAGGGTCTAGTGTGACCACACGGTCGAGAGCAGGGTCAGCAGTGGCCTCGGCAAGGTCAGTCACAGACTTGCTCTTCACACACTGCAAAAGTGTATTAGTTACTGGGACTGGTTAGATATCATGCCTAAGATTTTTTTGCTTTTCTCATTTCTGAGACCTTCCTTGATGGTGATAATGGGCTCTTGATCTAAGGAGTTAGCTATACCCTTCCCTTCCTTGGATCAACCCTGATTATCTCCCCTTTCCCAAAAACTGCATGATCCTTGTGAGTTTAGCACTTCCCCATGAATATAATAATTTCTGAGACTAACTGATAATCGTGAGTGCCTTGTATCTCTCAACCTCCTACTTGTTCTCAAGTGTTAGTTGATATAATTTTGATGTCATATATCTCTCAACATCTCACTCGTCCTCAAGTGTCAGCTAATAAAGTCTCAGGTTATCTCAAACATATCTAAAAACATATTTTTTAACATTTACTTCCCAAATATGATAATGATATTTACCGTTATTATTTTTAACACACTGGTCATATCCCATTGAGGTAGGGGGACCTATAAAGAAAAACAAAGGTAATTTTGTAATTTATACAGGAGAAGGGGTTGCTAGCCCCTTGCTCCAGGCATTTTTGTCACCTGTTATGAGAGGCATGACTTAAGAAATCGTAATGACACGATTGCAAACAAACCATACCCCCGGCCGGGATTGAACCCGCGGTCATAGAGTCTCAAAACTCCAGCCCGTCGCGTTAGCCACTAGACCAGCTAGCCACAATAAGATTCATCCAACTAGGTATATTTCTACACCATAGGAAGGTTAGCACAGGCACCTCTGTGACCACAAATGCAAGTTTTTACAGACGAATCTCCAGCTAGCGTGGCCGTGACGAACTCTAGCTCAAGTCCCTTCACTGCCGTCAACATGACTTAAGAAATCGTATTTACACGATTGCAAACAAACCATATCCCCGGCGGTATTGAACCCGCGGTCATAGAGTCTTCAAAACTCCAGCCCATCACGTTAGCCACTAGACAGCTAGCCACAATAAGATTCATCCAACTAGGTATATTTCTACACCATAGGAAGGTTAGCACAGGCACCTTGTGACACAAATGCAAGTTTTTACAGACAATCTCCAGCTAGCGTGGCCGTGACGAACCTAGCTCAAGTTCGTCACGGCCACTCTAGCTGGAGATTCGTCTGGTAAAAACTTGCATTTGTGGTCACAGAGGTGCCCGTGCTAACTTCCTATGGTGTAGAAATATACCTTGTTGGATGAATTTTATTGTGGCTAGCTGGTCTAGTGGCTAACGCGACGGGCTGGAGTTTTGAGACTCTATACCGGGTTCAATCCCGGCCGGGTATGGTTTTTTGCAATCGTGTCATTTACGATTTCTTAAGTCATGTTGACGGCAGTGGAAAGACTTGTAGCTAGAGTTCGTCAGGCCACGCTAGCTGGAGTATTCGTTCTAGTAAAAAACTTGCATTTGTGGTCAGGTGCCTGTGCTAACCTTCCTATGGTGTAGAAATATACCTAGTTGGATGAATCTTATTGTGGCTAGCTGGTCTAGTGGCTAACGCGACGGGCTGGAGTTCTGAGACTCTATGACCGCGGGTTCAATCCCAGCCGGGGGTATGGTTTTATGAGAGGCATGGCTTATAGAGGAAGAATTCTTTCCATTTCCCCTATGGAGATAAGAGAAATAAGAACAAGAACTATTAAGACAGGAAGACAAACCCAGATGGGTGGGTGGGTTTGGATGGATTTATATATATATATATAATATATATATATATATATATATATATAGTGTGTGTGTGTGTGTGTATAATAATATATAAATATATATATAAATATATAATATATACACACACACACACAATATATATATATATATAATATACATACACACACACAATAATATATATATATATATATATATATAATATATATATATATATAATATATATATATATATATAAATATATATATACTCCATGGGGAAGTGGAATAGAATTCTTCCTCCGTAAGCCATGCGTGTTGTAAGAGGCGACTAAAATGCCGGGAGCAAGGGGCTAGTAACCTCTTCTCCTGTATATATTACTAAATGTAAAAGGAGAAACTTTCGTTTTTCCTTTTGGGCCACCCTGCCTTGGTGGATACGGCCGTGTGTTGAAAGAAAGAAAGATATATATATATATATATATATATATATATATAATATATATATATATATATATATATATTAATATATATATATATATATATATATATTAATATATATATATATATATATATATATATATATTAATATATATATATATATATAATAATATATATATATATATATATATATATATATATTAAGGAGTAGTAAGGGGAGAAAAAGTTAGCATATGAGAAGTTTTTACAAAGTAGAAGTGATGCAAGGAGGGAAGAGTATATGGAGAAAAAGAGAGAAGTTAAGAGAGTGGTGAAGCAATGTAAAAAGAGAGCAAATGAGAGAGTGGGTGAGATGTTATCAACAAATTTTGTTGAAAATAAGAAAAAGTTTTGGAGTGAGATTAACAAGTTAAGAAAGCCTAGAGAACAAATGGATTTGTCAGTTAAAAATAGGAGAGGAGAGTTATTAAATGGAGAGGTAGAGGTATTGGGAAGATGGAAGAATATTTTGAGGAATTGTTAAATGTTAAATGAAGATAGGGAAGCTGTGATTTCGTGTATAGGGCAAGGAGGAATAACATCTTGTAGGAGTGAGGAAGAGCCAGTTGTGAGTGTGGGGGAAGTTCGTGAGGCAGTAGGTAAAATGAAAGGGGGTAAGGCAGCCGGGATTGATGGGATAAAGATAGAAATGTTAAAAGCAGGTGGGATATAGTTTTGGAGTGGTTGGTGCAATTATTTAATAAATGTATGGAAGGGTAAGGTACCTAGGGATTGGCAGAGAGCATGCATAGTTCCTTTGTATAAAGGCAAAGGGGATAAAAGAGAGTGCAAAAATTATAGGGGATAAGTCTGTTGAGTGTACCTGGTAAAGTGTATGGTAGAGTTATAATTGAAAGAATTAAGAGTAAGACGGAGAATAGGATAGCAGATGAACAAGGAGGCTTTAGGAAAGGTAGGGGGTGTGTGGACCAGGGGTTTACCAGTGAAACATATAAGTGAACAGTATTTAGATAAGGCTAAAGAGGTCTTTGTGGCATTTATGGATTTGGAAAAGGCGTATGACAGGGTGGATAGGGGGGCAATGTGGCAGGTTTTGGGGCAAGTGTAGGGTGTAGGAGTAGGTTACTAAAAGCGTGAAGAGTTTTTACGAGGATAGTGGGCTCAATTTAAAGTATGTGGAAAGAGGGAAATTTTTTTCCCAGTAAAAGGGGCCTTAGACAAGGAGTGTGATTCACCGTGGTTTTTTTAATATATTTATAATGGGGTTGTAAGAGAAGTAAATGCGAGGGTTTTGGGGCAAAGGCTGGATTAAAAAAATAAGAATCACCACAAAGTGGATTGTCACAGCGCTCTTTGCCGATGACACGTGCCTTGGGGGAGATTCTGAAGAGAATTGCAGAGATTGGTGGATGAATTTGTAGGGGGTGCAAAAGAAAAAATTAAAGGTGAATACAGGAAAGATAAGGTTTTGGGGAACAAAAAGATTAGGATAAAAAGTTTGAATACAGATTGGAGGGAGAGAGTATGGAGGGGGGAACTTTTTTCAAAATTTTGGGGAGGGGAGTGTCACGGATGGGTCTATGAAAGATGAGGTGAATCAAGAATTGATGGGAAAAAGAGTGGTGGTGACTTAGGAGTTGTGGAAAAAAGAACTTTGCCCCTTGGGGGAAAAGAGGGAATGTATAGAGTATAGTTTTACCAACGCTCTTATATGGGTGAAGCGTGGGTGATGAATTTTCACGAGAGAAGGCTGGGGGCAGGGGGAAATGTCATGTCTGGGGAAATGTGTGGTGTGAATAAATGCAGAGAATTCGTGTTTTGGGAAATTAGGAGGAGGTGCGGGGTTACCAAAAAAGTTGTCCAAAAGGTGAGGAAGGGTTGTTGAGGGTTCGACATGTAAAGGGAAAGGGGCAAAAAGAAAGACTTCAAAAAGTGTTCATCTGTAGTGGAAGGGAAAGGGGGGGGTAGGGGGCGGCCCAGGGAAGGGGTTTGGGGGGAGGGGTAAAGGAGGGTTTTTTGGGTTTGGGGGGCTGACTTCCGCAGGCATGCGTGAGCGTGTTTGATGGAGTGAATGGAGACAAATGGTTTTTTTTATTCTGCTTTTTAGTGTGAGCAAAGAAAATTTTTGAAGGGATTAGGGAAACCCCCAGGCCGGGCTTGAGCCCTGGGGATGGGAAATACAGTGCCTGCACTCTGAAGGAGGGGTGTTTAAAGGGCAGTTTAAAAACGTAGTGTAAGCACCCTTCTGGCGACGTGAGGAGTGAATATGGTGAAAGTTTTTCTTTTTCGGGCCACCCGCCCGGTGGGGAAACGGGCCGGTGTGATAATAAAAAAAAAAAAAAAAATATATATAAATATATATTATATAATAAAATAAATATAATATATATATTAAAAATATATTAAAAAAATTATATTATATATATATAATAAATTATATATTATATATATTTATAAAAAATATATAATAATATAAATATATTAAAAATGCAAGGAAATTTTTACAAAGCGCGAAATTACACAAACAGATCTCGGCTGAAAGGAGACTCAACCTACGAACCTTGGAAAAGGTACACAGTGTGTACCATTTTCCCCCCCTGGACCAAACCTTTGCGCCAGCTTTCACTAGACTTTGACCAAGGCAGCCAGCTTTCAGGAAATGGCTTTCGCTTTTATCCATCCCCTGCATGCACACCTTATAGAGTTTTAAAAATCAAGGGGGGTGAAATGGTAAGGCACGGGGACCTTTTTCCAAGGTTTGTAGGTTTGAGTCTCCTTCACCAAGATCGGTTTTTATTATTTTGCCTGCTTTGTGAATTCTTTCATTGTTAAAACCTCTAGTAAGGCTGATGCATGCAGGAAATGAGAAGAAAAGCTGTAAGCCTTCTCCCTGAAAGCTGGCTGCCTTGGATTAAGA